AAAGAAAGAAAGAGAGAGAGAGAGAGAGAGAGAGAGAATAAAGAGTTAAATAAATAAGTATAAAAATAAGATATCTATTTAATTAAAAGCACTTAAATTCTCTTTTAATATTTTAGCTATCCTTTTAAGTATTTATTAATAATTAATGCATTATTTGTGGATCCATTAGTTAATGTGAAGTGTAAATTACTGTCCAATAATATATGCACACATTTAATATAAGATTATATTCAAGTAATAGCTTAAGTTATTAATTTAACAAGAATATGATAATATTATAATAGAAATGTTTAAATACATAGAAATGTATAATATCATCTTATACAGTAATAGACATTTGCGATTATAAATGTCAACAAAATGTTCATGTAGATATTATAAAAATATAATAAAGTAATTTAACATAAAATGCAACATCAAATAAATGTAGAATTAGTCAAAATTCTTACGTGCTATTATTTGAATGTAAAAATGCTATAATTATTATAATAAATTTAATCATATAAAATCAATTTTTCTAGGCATTGCCGAAGGGATCAATCAAGATTATTATCTCGACAAAATGCCATCAGGATGCTATTTGTATTGGTCGCACACTTCTTCATTTGCTGGAGTAAATATAAATCTAATAAATTTTATTAAAAGTGCATTAAGCTTAGAATTTCTTAGTAATTCTGTTATTTATTACTAAATAGATTATTTTAAAAGTACTGACTTTTTGCAATAATTAATTGATGTCTTATAATTAAATTGCAATAATTTTTAGGTCCATTATATATAATAAACACATGGAGTGTATTTAACGCTAAACAGGTATGTTTCTAAAAATATATTCTATGCAACATAATATTATTGCATCATAATTAAGCAAATATACTTTACATTTGGGAATTCTCAACATGCAAATTTTTTTATAATATTAATACAAATATTTTCTACATAGATATACATAAGAGACGAGATTGAAAATGAGCCACTAGTGTAATAAATTTCAATTTAGTTTGGGTTGTGTTAAGTTTGTTGTAAGAATATATAAATATCTAAATAATTTACTGTATATATAGTATTCTCAATAAGGTATAAAATTGTATAACACAAACGTGTCACAAAGTAACGCATATTTAGCTTACAATATTCGCTAACATTTAATACTGACTGACAGATCAATTCCTAAAACTCTAAGAATTAATCTCTTACATCAAACATATACTGTATATCCCTATCTCTCTCTCTCTCTCTCTCTCTCTTTCTTTCTTTCTTTCTTTCTTTCTTTCTTTAATATAAAATATTTATTTCAAAACACATTTATTAAAAAAGAAAGTGCATATATCTAACAATTAACCCGTTGGGCTATTGTGCAAATCGGATCTAATTAAATGTATATTAGTGTACGCACTTTATCCAATATTAATTATTTTTAAAAATCCATTTTCGGTGTATTATAGTATAATTATACTATTTGATGAATAAAAACTCACAATATCTACAGGATATGATAACTCATACATTATTTAAAAATAGAATTGATCATTAAATTTGTCTTACAATTGAAATTCGGTTAGTGCCCGGCCCCGATTTTAATTTAATTGCGTTATTCAGAGAGTTTAGGGCATATAAAACACATCTATGAACTTTTTAAGAGATATCTCTCTCTCTCTCTCGCAATCTCTCTCAGCACTCATTACTATTGCATTACAGTTACGATTTTAGCTGTAGATGTGATTCAAATCTCTCGTTTCATCTCAACTCCCAATTAGTCGGATCTCTCTCTCTCTCTCTCTCTCTCTTTCTCTCTCTCTCTCTTTCTTTCTTTCTTTCTTTCTTTCTAAAACTATTTATCCCTTAAATGACACTCACTTTTTTGGCATACATTGTGCGTACATTATACGCACTCAATTATTTTAAACTAGATTTTTTAGTCGTTTCAAACGTTTTCATTTTCTCAGCAAAACGAGAGTGAAATACATTCAACGAGATTTTCCAATCAATTTATTTAAATATATTTTTTCATCCAATAATTGACTTTTTTAATGGAAAAAATCCTTTTTTCTTTCAATATTTTGCTTTTCCATCGCAAATATAATATTGATTTTAATTAAAATCAAAAAAGTTTTAATGTTATATGTCTTAAACATAAAAGGCTGAAAAATGGGAAATCACTTTCATTTTACTCTAATGTATAGTTTATGTTCACTTTAATAAAATGTATAGTTTTCAAATAAACTAGATGCGTTTTGGCTATTATTCAGACACGCGATGGGTGATAACGCACCAGGATAAATCTCGACATATACTCAACTAGCTTTCAAATCTTATTTATTTATACACTTTATGTACAATATTTGCCTCATTATTCATATACTGATAGGATATATACTCACACAGAATATATGGGTTATAAGAATATTCTGTCCCTAAAGCATATGTGTTTACACACAGACACAGAATAAATGGGTTGAATGGATAAGCATTGAGTGTTTGAGTACTAGTAGTGAGAGTTTGTGTCAGAGCGAGAGAGAGAGAGAGAGAGAGAGAGAGAGAGAGAGAGAGAGAGAGTTGGTAAACGTGTCNACTGGTATTGTCTCAATAGAGGGCAAGAGAGTGAGTGAAAGGGGAGAGAGAGTTGGTAAACGTGTCAAAACATTTCTCTCTCAATCCCTTATCGCATGAATGTTTGTGATAAAAAAATTGGACAAAAACTCTTACATTTAAATTGAGGACAAAACCCAACGGACTTTTAAACCAAGAATATTCCTATGCCTTAGATATGGAGAAATAAATGTTTACATTTTTATGTTACACATTATAGCTATCAGGCAGATATCCAGGTCCTATGTTATAGCAAAAAAGTCTGAGATTGTGTTGTTTAGTATTTTGTATGTAACGCATCATTACATCACTTATGATTTTGTCGGACAACACGACACAACCCCTCCATCTCTTCCCATAGTTTTGCGTTCAAAAATATATATCAAATATATCAACACTTGAGATACAGATACACACGACTGGTATTATATACACCATTACAGCTATAGCTGAATGTGAATGTATTCCCTGTCCATATATAGAGTACATGTTTTTATATATTTTGTGAAATGTTTTTGATTTTATGTTTTGATAGCAATACACATAAAATTCTTGAGATTTTTGGCGTATCTGTCATCTCTCTCTCTCTCTCTCTCTCTCTCTCTCTCTCTCTCTCTCGGTATCAATACGACACACATTTACAGTATATATCTATCTATTGTGACAAAAAATTACTTCTTTAGGATATAAATGCTTTTAAGAGAAGAGGTTTGAAAAAGCTGTCGACAACTGTCTCTATTTGACATCAAAAGTAAATATTTAAATATTTATTTCAAAACGAGTTAAAATAAATCCGTAAAAGCATTGCCGCATAAAATCATCATCATAATTTTATTAATACAATACTACATATTAAATAATGTTAACAAACGATATATAAAATAAAATCTACTGTTAAAAAATATAATAGTATAGTTTAATATAATGATGTATAACTTTAGTAAACCCTATGACCAAAGATCAGTGAATTATAAATTAAACACTAGAATTCTGGCGGAAATTTAATAACAATACTAATAATAAATAAATGAATGAAAAGCATAGGTCTAAATACAATGCAAGGAAATTTTTTTCCTATTCTATGCACTTATTTCTTAACAGTCAGTGAATATGTGAACAGAATTTCTAATATATATTTCCCAATTGCATGTCGAGAGAGAGAGAGAGAGAGAGAGACTGAGCTATAGATACGGAGGTTATGAATGAATGCCTTCACGAGTAATACAACTCAATTACGTTTATTATGAAAGAGATCGGAGAGTATATGGGAGAGAGAGAGAGAGAGAGAGAGAGAGAGAGTTTCTCCAGAATATAAGTGGTGAAAAATAATAAGAAGAAATATATATTATATGAATTCACTTCAACATCACATTCGTTGCACACATACACAGAATATTCTGTTTCCCACCTCTAAATCCAATGTGTGTTTAATTTATATACAGTATATATCGCCCACATATGGCGCCGCCACCCACAGCCCAGACACCATACCATTCCCATAGTGTTATTATGTACTTATATTCACATATAAAGGCTATGAATGAGTTGAAACCACATTTTGATAGCTTATTATTGGATTAGATAATAGATAAATAAAAGTGTGGCCATAAATCTCGCTATGAATACTGAATACCACATAATTAATGCACTAATGGTATTAAACAACGTTATTGTAGTTGAATTTTAATCAATTCTTGCGATTCTTATAAGTTATAACTTATAAAACTAATCCAATTATATTAAGAATTGTGTTGATGAATGTTAAAAAGATAAGATTTATATAAAGTTAATCATGTCAGATTTACTAAAATTTTATATTTTTCAATGACTATAATTTAATTTTTAATATTTTGTAATTTAATAAATAGATTTTCTCCACGTTTGAGTGTTATCAATATAAAGTCAATTGTTTTACATATATTATACATAATGCAATTAATAACACGAATATAAAATGTAGCTTAATTGAAAATTATAATCTAAACCCCTTATTATATAGACAGTAATGTGTGATAACAGAAACACAGAATATTCTGATGAATGAAAGGGTATTAAACATGTAATTGAGTGCAGAGTTAACACACAAAACACTTTAATCTTTGCACTCGTTTTGCATTAAATCTGTGAAGAATTCAATGAATAAACGCCTTCATAGCCTCTCTCTCTCTCTCTCTCTCTCTCTCTCTCTATTATAAGTATCATTTATCAAAACTCTAATAAGAGTTTACGTTTGACTGACTTATAGATAGTTTCTAATTACACAATTTGATGGAAACCATTAGAAAGATAATTAACTTTTATACTTTGTTGCAACCATTGCTGTCAAGACATTGAGTCTCAATATAGCTATTGATAAACTGATAACCCTTTATACCTGTCATATATTTAATATAAATAATGGAAAATAAGTAGGCTTCTAAACACCATCAATTTATAATGTGCAATTTTCCCATTATTAAGCATTTTACAAAATTACTTTAGATTTATCCAGAAAATTAATGCAATATAATGTATTGTCTATGAGAGCATAGAGACAAAGCTACCTGTTGAGAAGTTCTGTGCATGATCATTATTTTTAACCCAATAACTCATAATAGAAATCAAAACGTTCAAACATTAACTTTATAATGTCTATATATACAGGGATACAAAGATTGTTTGCGTGTAATATAGGCTTTATCTAAAGCTTTACCTATAATAGATTTTAATATAAAAGCATTTGGGTTTAACAACAGATAAATATTTATGCGAACAAACAAACCATCATCATTATAAAATTCAGTACTTCAAACGTTTATTAAGTTTACACAACAAATAAAAATAAAATATTTGTTAACGCATTATCACACTCTAAAGCATAAACTAATAGTGTTATTCATTAGATCAATTTTAACCCTATTTATATCGACACGAGTCTTTAAATAGCGTTAAATTATTTTCAAAACACTGAATTAATTAAATGAATCTGTCTCTTTATTTGTCTTATTGTCCAGTTATACCACTACGTGGGCGCTACAGGTGTATCGGTAACACACCTATTGGCATATTGTTCATGTTTTAACTGTTATATATACTGTTTTATGCACACTAAATTCCGAGAAGTAAGTCTATCATGTTTGTTCATTAGATTTAAATTACCTTGCTATCTGTCAACAAGTTACCTGTTGTAGTACAATCATGTTGTACAATCATATCATATTGATTTAGTAAAATATAAAATAACATATTAAAAAACAGAATAAAATTACTATTATGATATATTAAACTTTTTCAACATAATTTATAAGTTAATCGTTGCGTATATGAAGTTTTGATCATGTTAATTTATTAATTACAGGCATTACTACGTATGCTATCACGAAGTTTTTATAGACAAAACAGTTGTGTGTTTGCGCCCAATATTTTTGGCGATGACAACGGCAACGACACACAAACCTCCAGCAGTCGACAGGATATTGCACTGGCATTAGTCGGACAAAGTTTTAACCAACAAGAATATATCAAATATTAATAGCTTAAGCACATAAATCATAAAACCCATACAATTTATATATTATAATAAAGTTTATCATAATGGACATGTTTAATTATTTGTTTATTGTGTGTTTAATCAAAACATAAAGTATATGTCGGCCAATTTTAATTTTTCATACAAGCTATAAACATTTTCAGTGAATTTTATTATCTACAAAAAAATATTTATTTAATTTAAATGTAAAATAGTATAATTTATATTGTTAGAAATGTAATCTGTATATTTTTACCACTTTATACCAAAATTCAAAGTTACAATATTTAAATATTTTATTATAATTCAGTATATAAATTTTTTTAAAATATTGTATTTAATTTGCACATTTATTATCCATAATTGTGCAAAACGTTAGGAAGCTTTACATATTAAATGACTGATTCATATATTAATTGTGTTTGTGTCATAATGAATTAAATATAAAATCAATGTTACATAATATATGCCACATTAAACATTCATTCCAATTATAAATCATTATTCTATCAAAATTTTATTTTCAAGTAATATTAATATATAACAGATATTTATAAATATATAACATTTAATTTAAAGTATCTTAAAGATAATTAATAAATTAAATTATAATATATCAAGTGTAAATAACAATATAAATTACAGTATAAATAATGTTTAATTTATTTTCCTCTTACTGAATTAATCTGTCTAATTATAAAACCTACAAATTTGAATACTTTATTCATTAAGGAAAATATAAATAAAACATTAGTTTTAACATTATTAGTATTAGTAATATTTTCATCTTGTTTATTGTCGAAAAGTAATAGTTTAGGAGAAACACTGGTTAAAGGGATAATAGTATGACTGAAGGTAATTGACAATACAAGCAATAATTGTGAACAAAAATACAAAGTTAACACTAAATATCGGAATATATAAACCGAAAACCAATTAAAATATGAATATAGATAGAGTTCAATGACTAAGATTGTATTGGATATCATAAACAATATAGCACTCGATAGTGAGTAAAAGGATAATTGTGATGGCATTTCATAAGCAAGAATAATTGAGCGCCAGAACATTATCCCGATAAAAACTACATAGATTGGCACAATGTAGACAAATATACCTAGATGAAAATGTAATAAAAATATCTTAGTACTACATCCATTATTTTTATTGTAACAATAATTGTGATATATTTATTTGTATAAATTAAAGTGAGTTGATAAATGCTACAGTATATGATTTTTAAAAGTATATTGTATAAATTCTTATATAAAGCATATAATTAAGTAACCGAAAGATTGTTCAAAAAATATAAAATTCGTTTTTCTTAATAACCAGAATAGTAATTCCAATTTTTTATTGGCCATCATTATCGGCAACTATTGCCCATTTGTCGGACAAACTTTCAATGACTTTCCATTAAAAATGGCTGCCCTGAGACTCATAGATGTGAGCTAGGTCTGCTTCTACCATTACTTTTGTTTTATAAATTTCTACCATAAGGTGTGACTGAAGAGAACTGTATAAACAGTGATCTGATAGAGGAATAACTGGAGTATATGGTGGGTATCAGAGAACTTCTCGCCTAAACTCTTCTAAAATTTTTGAATTGATTTTTGAAAAATGTGGTCTAAAAATAAGCTAAAAATGGCTATATTTTCGGTATATGTTTAAACATCGGTTCGGGTGGCTTTCCCTGTCACTTTTAAATGGTTACAACTAGTTGGCTGGTGGAAGCCTAAGACCACCAACAATTCAATATATTAAAATCTTGGATCGGATCTACCCCGGTCATTTTCCGCATTATTGACCACATCTCTGGGTCGGGTGGTTCGGGTGCGGACTATTAGGTCATAATCACCGAATTTAAACATTGTGTGCAATGCATGCCATTAACCAATAATCAATACACCGTCCAAGATTGATATACTATTTTTGTCACTCATACTTTGTCCAGTTGACTTAAACTTAGAATTAACCGAATGTTTTTAATGTAACCGATATAATCCGTTTCGGTTAAATGACCACTTTTTGAAGCAAATTAAATATTTATTTTACATAAAATTAAAGATAATAATATGATGTATGTAATAGGCTTTTAACCAAATTGATCACAAGTACCCAAAAAATTTGGGAGCCAATCGAACACAGCATTAATAAAACTTTCGGTTACTTAATTATAAGTGTTATACTATAAGAATTTATTTAAATATAGCGTTAATTGTTGTAATAATTACCATAATTTGTAAGTTACAGGATACAAAATTGTATTTTGTAACTTTATATTAATTATAAGTTGTATTGTATCATTATTTCTTGAAATTATTATTAAATTCATTCGTAATGTATACTTCATATAATATTAATTATATCTTACTATAAATATTTATTTAAATATATCATTAATTGTTGTGATTACAATTGTTTGTAAAATAATCAAAAATTGTTTGCCATAAAATATAATATCAATTGAAAACAAAATTAAAATTCACGTATGAAATGTTAAATTGTTGAATTACACGTTTCAAAACTAAAATCCTGTGAGTTATTTTGAGTAATTGTAACAAAATAATCATAAAATTGTCTTATCGTTGTCGGGAAGTTTGTCTGGTGGGGCAGCATTTGCATTATATACATGTAAAAGTCAATAATTTCTTGACAGCTAACATTGTTTTAATTAATATCAAGTGTTATTTACTAAAAATAATTTAAGATAAAAATTCTATAAATAATTACCATGCATAGAAACATAAGTAATTATATATATTCATATAATTAATCATACACATTTAATATTAATAATAGTTTTATCATTAATAGTCCATACAATTGAAATATATTGATACATGTTTATGGCACATTTTTTTATTTATAAAATATAGCTAAAACCTTGTTATTATTATAGATAACAGCAATTAGTATAGTGCAGGGCGTCTAGATGAGCAGAAATTGAGCAAAACTGTAATGTATTGTCTATGGGAGCATATAGGCAAAGCCTACCTTTTCAGACATCCTGGTATAGTGCATATAAACTAAAATTATATATTATGCTAGATTTTATTGGAAACTTTTTCTCATGGTCGTTTACTAGAATTATTTATTTAATCTTTTGTTATCAAGTTTATTTTTCTATTTATAATATAAAATGTAATATATAGTTAATATTTATTTATGCAAATGCCTTAAATAATCAGTTAATTTATCAAATAATCAAATATGAATAAACTTACCGGGAAAGTTTTAAAATTTGCCACAAATAATGTAAATACTAATTGTTATACCATATTATATATTTACTTTAATTTATATATTGTATTATTAAAATTTTGATTAGAAATATAACTAGCTTTTCTTTTCAAACATTGTTAAAATTTATGTTTGATAAAAATTTATAAAAGTATAAATATTTAATAACTTTTCTAATTAAAAAAAATTATAATTACAGATCATGCCATTCATATCTATTAAATTTAATACAAATAAAAATGCTTATGATTTTGACCGAGGATTTGATACAATGTTGTGGCAGACAATTGGCAAACACTATAACATAAGTTATGATATTGTTTACTGCAATGGGATTTGGGGTTCACAACCGGTTAACAACATGTGGTTTGGTGTTGTGGGAGAATTACATAACAGGGTAATTGTAATTATACTTGATTTTATCATTTAAATTCAAATTTATATTGAAAAATTTGTAGAAGGCTGATGTAGCATCAGGATTAATAATGACTGATTTAAGAAACACCGCAATTGATTTTACATATCCCTATGTATTAAGTGATATAGCGTTTACATCTCCGCCGCCAAAATTCAAGCGTTTTACTAATTTGTTGCAACCCTTCGACAGTTATATTTGGCTCTCAATCCTAACCACAATCACACTATTCATTGCCGTTATATTCACTACAAATACTATCTATAAATCAAATACTAAATAAACATTAAGCTGGAATATAATTGTAATCTTATTTCGACAAAATCCGTCGTTCACAATTAATAAATATCCAAATAATATTTTATTCATTTCCTGGATATTAATGTCAATTATTTTATACATATTTTATTCGGGTTTAATCTATTCGTTAATCACAGTTCCTGTGGAGCATAGGATTGAAAGCATCGATCAATTGATTGAAAGTCAATATACAAATGGGCTTAAAATTCTTGTTGGAAATCATAGCGTCTATCAGACTTTATTGGTATAACTTAAATAAAAACTGAACTTTATTTAAATATAAACACATTTTTTAAAAATCTAGGACACTTTAAATAAACTAAATGGAAAAATAATTTATAATTACAAAAGTGTTGAATTATCAGAATGGTTAAATTATATTAAAATGAACGATCGTCCATATTCATTTATTCTTGACAGACATTTCTTGCGTTACAGTATAATTGGTTACAATATTACCAATCATTACTTATCAAATAGACATGGTGCAAATAAATTAACTACTAATTTAATTTCAATTGGTTTACAAAAGAATTCTGTTTATTTAAAACCACTTAACGTTATGTATGTATTAAATAATTTAAATACTTGTATTAAATTTATTATTTATATTCATTATTAGTCTCTCTCGTGTTCGTGAAGCAAATCTTATCAATTATTGGATCAAAAAGTTTTATTTTAAATTAAATAAAAGTAATTTCTATTCAAATAATAGTGTAGATGCTAAATATTTTAACCTTGGTTATAGGAATTTTATATTTCTGTTTTTACGATGTAGTTATTTTATAATATTTGCCATATTTGTATTAATTGTAGAATTATTATTAAAACTTAAATAATGTATAAAAATATTTAGACATATTTGAATTGTAAAGCTGTAATCTCATAGCAAGCCACGTTAATATTCAATTCGCACTATTGCTTACAAGCAAGCTAACTAGACTTAAGCACAGTGCGAACACCTCAGTCACTTGACTTATCGGAGCAAGCGAGGGACCCTTCTTAAGTTAGTAAGCTTTCCTAGGTTTCAGTGCGAACGCTCAAGTGACTTATCTTGGGCCAATAAGCGCACTCTTTAAATATCACATGTGTTTGTTTACAATATATTCATTTATTTACTATATCTACTGTACTGTGTGTGTGATTGTCTTGGGCCAATCAACGCCCACTGTAACAGTCCAGCAATTGAATATGAAAACAGGTTTTGCTTGCTTAAGAAATCCTAATGCGAACGCTCTCCTCACTTAAGCAAACCATTTTGTGACTGAAGTAAGCAATAGTGCGAATTGAATATAAGCGTTCTCATATTAAACTTATGAAAACACGCCATGTTAAAGTCTGGCCATAGGATTACCATGGATTATCATAATCAATAGGGTGAAGAGAAGTAAATGTAATGAATAAAACACACAATATAACACCATATTCATAAATGAATTGCGATTAAAAATGAGACAAATATTTCAAACATGATATTTATTTCAATACAATCATTAAATTTATAGGGTTAGAGCGATGAACGCATGTTTCTGGATCTCATTCCACGCAAACTCGATATCCCTGTCCTCTGTATTCTGTGAGCAGACTATAAACCGTATGATAAACTGTCCGCCGACTCGAGTCGGTGTCAAATGAATAGCTTTGCCGTCATTTATAAGTTTGTGGAACTTCTCGTTCAGAGCATTCGTTCCCTACAAAAAAAGTCCGGACATTAAAACTTAGAGTTACGTTAAATTTCATAAATCACACAAATTTCACTATTATATGCACCAAAAATGTTTTGCATTATATCATTGACTATAGCATGTTTTTGTACATTTTTAAGAATTAATTTGTAATTTTATGTATACGTAATTTTTTGTGAAAATTATAATAGTGAACTTTTGTGTGAATTATCATATTTGATGACATCGATGTATTTGTACTGGGGCATACCTTTAGTCGAAAGGTAACCAAGCTCATCTCCACGGGTGCCGACAATTCAAAGCGATCGTCTTTAAGCAGCAGTGACTGGAAATATTTGGCTAAAGCCACTTGCTAGTAGTTGGTTGGTATATAATCAAGCACAAAAACGTTGTTATTTTAATAATTAAATCATTTGTTTCAATTGACATTCAATTGTGTTTATTATGGGTCCATACTTTTCTGACGTGAGTTTGCAATCTTTTTATGCCATAACTTCTAAAAACAAACCACATTTTGAGTGCACGGAATCGTCTCGACAGCGGTATTCCCCACGACTTTGTGTTTGGATATAAAATTGTGTTTTATTATAAATTAAATTTACATTGAATTATTATTATTATTTAATTTGCATTTAATAGAGTGCAATTTGTCATTGTTTGGTATTACACGTAAATTAGATAATTTTCATGTAATCATAATTATTGTAAAAATTATTTAAAACATTTAAAATAGTACAATTCTTCCAAATAAAAAACCCCGATCTATTATTGTTAATTTACTGACAAATAATGATTTACCATTTAGTTAGGGATTTATTGAAATCCAACATCTGTATCAAAACTAACATTAATTTGGATTGCAATCCAAAATAATTGAATTTTATCTAATCTAACACTAAACATAAATAATGCTTATAATGTCAAATTTTGCATATACATTTTTGCATATATAATTTTGTATTTTATAATTATCAAAAATATCCAATCAAATTGTTGTTTTCTATTTCTGTTTACCCATAATTAACTAATGCCCGCATTTAAGTATAGTATTATATTAATCATATTGTATTGTAAATTATATTGTACTTTACAAAACAAGTATTATATGAATCAATTATTTAAAATTATACATATTTTACAAAATAAAATAAAATTTGAAAAAAATTCCAACTAACACGAATGGATAAGGTTATAATTAAATGAAATAAATTTACTAACCCTGAAATCGGGCATTTGTCCCTCGTACTCATGTCGTAAATATACGGGATTCACATTAAACGCGTCCACAATATAATCCCTGTTTTTGAGCCTTTTATGAAATATTGTATAAATTATAAATTTTAATTTACATGTAAAATAACATTTAATTGATTTTCAAAATCAATTCAAATTCAATTTTTTAACTACAATTCAGATATAAATAATTTGGTTTATAGGATCGTTCAGTGAATCCCCCTTTTACTCATGTAAAAAACATGAACAAATTATACATAAAAGTTGTGAAAGTCATATAACATTGTAACAAGGTTAAAATTCATGTGTAATACATTTAACATCCCATGTTAAATCCCATAGGGTGGGTGAGGGGAGAGTGGGTGGTCTATGTATCATAAATGAATAGTGGTTAAATATACAAACCAAAGTGCTGAACAATCTAAGTTTATTAAAAGCCATTTATGGGGATTCACATTGATTGATGAGACGTACTATTAATATAAGTTATAGTTATCATAATATTTAAGTTTTATAACAGTTGTAGTGAAAGTGTAAAACTAACTTCAATTCCGTTTAAATGATGCCTAAATTCGGGGCAAATAAATGCCGAACCGGCGAACGCGGCGTCAATATGTAGCCATACATTCTCCTCTTCGCCTGAAGTCAATACAAATGTGTTTAATATTTACAAAAATTTATGTGAAATTTATATACAAAATTATTTCAACACAGTTAATTTACATTTAAAACATAATATGTTAGCCTCATATAATAGCATATATGGAGCAGTGTAAGCTATTAAAGCCTGAGGCAATACACTATAATATTGGCTCAGGCTTTTATAGCATACATTGCCCCAAATATGCTATTATATGCATGCTGTCAACAAACAATCATCTATGCTGTCAACTACTCTATGTTGTCAATTAAATCTATCAAAAACCATTCTGCCGATAGCATGAATAGTTAACTAAAGTTAACTAAACTTTATAATACGTGATTAAATGATTAAAACATTTCAAATTCACTCACAAACTTTGCCCACTTCTGTGATGTTATCGAAAGCCAATATACCAGTGGTGCCCAGCGTTGCCACTACGAAGAATGGGATCAATCCATTGGCTTTATCTTTCTTAATCTGTTCTCTCAGAACATCTCCTCTAAGGCTATGGTTTTGATGGGCAAAAGTGGGCAATAGTTTTATCTGAACGGCGCCTAACAGTGCGGCCCTCTCGACACTGGAATGCGACTGATCCGAGGCATAGGCCACTAATTTAGTGATTAACTCTTTATTATGACCATGGTCGGCTAATATTTTACTTCTAGCACCCAATAGACTCATAAGTATTGCCTCACTAGCGCTTCCCAATATAACACCGCCCCCTTTGCCGCCGTTGCTAAACGTGAAATGGTTGGGCAGTGTTAGCATTTTGGCCAACCAGTCCATCATTTGCATCTCCAGTTCAGTAGCAACGGGGCTCGAGATCTGTATTTATAAATTGAATAAATGTTAGCTAATTTGAGTTAATCCATTTCAATGTGAATTAAAACAATAACTAAATGCGTGTATTAGTGCCAACCCATGTAATTCCAATAACACCCAAAGCGCTGGACAGCATATCCGCACAAATTGATGGAAATGATGTGAGTACTGGAAAATATGCGTAAAAGTGGGGCGATTGGAAGTGTGTGATCTAGATTAAATTAAAATCATTAATGAAATTTTACATAAACATTATATATAAATTATTTATAAAATTTATTGGTATTCTTTAATTGTATTAATTTTTATGCTTAATTTTTACTTTTATATAAAAAAATACAATGTATTTTATTTTCACACAACGCCTATAAAACACACTCATTATTGCATAGTAGTACTGATACTAAATTGTGATTATACAGTATGTGAAATACTTATTATATACAAAAATATACTTGCTAAAATCAGTTGCCAAGCTTCATTTTAAATAAAGAAAATTTTAAATTGATTGTATTGAATAAATTAATAGATAATAAATTAGTTAATAAACTAGATGGTAATTAATAGCAAAAAATATCGACTCACTCCTGGCATAATAACTCTGTCGATATCTGCGAATATAGCACTCCATGACTCCCCACTCTCAGGGGCTGTTTCGGGTATGTATTGCTTGATATAACCGGGTTTTACTGACGGAAATACAGGTCTTTCGCGAATATTCTCTAAATAATCTGCGATCCAATCGACGAGTTGTTTACCCGCCGATCGGAATTCAGTCGCGTCCATACCTTTTGACTCTATATATGCACTAAACAATTGGTATTTAATTATTTAGCATAATGTTAAACAAACTATTTGATTTAATAAGTTAATCTTGTTTACTAATCTCATAGAGTGTGAAATTAGCGAATAATACTTTGTATATTATAATTTGCTATAAATTATATTCTATAACTTAAATTATAAGTTACAATTTTTAGTAATCACAATTTTGTAATCATAATTTTTGCGAATCAATTCTTTAATTTTATACTAAATATTTAAAGTGGTCATTACTGTTTTATAATACCATATAAAAATAATAATATATGAATTTTTTATTACATTATTTTAAATAAACATTATTTATTTTGCATAATCAAAATTATTATTAAATTTTAATATTTACATTAATTATTAATGCAATTTTAATTAATTAATTCTAATTAAATTATCAATTAACACATAAATACCTATTGTTGAATACATTATGAGCTTTATGTGGTATTAATTCATTTGATTTAATCATATGATTAGATAATCCAACAAACAATATAATAATTACAATTATTTTAGCCATTTTTATTATGTTATTAATTAAAATTAGATTTACTAATTAAAAAAACATATGTGCTTGAGTTTGAAATATGTTATGTATATTAATTAATTTGTATAATTACTTGGCATTTTGACCGGCGGAACAGCACTTGTTAAATTTCCTTTAAAAATTCTGTAGAACTTAACATGATTGTGGAAATGTTTATATTGCAGTATTATGTAATACTGCGCGAATTGGTATTTTTATTGCCCCCACTCGTATAGCATTACATACATTGTTTGCGCAATGCATATCATTAAGTTTAGTCACATCTGGTCTGCACTGCAGACTATATAATCATAAGCCCCGCACATATACAGTATCCAGTAGTCCCCAGACCTCAGTCAGAGTAGAACTGAGTCTGCATTAGGTTAGCGCTAGTTATGCAACTTTCTGTTAAAAGCCTCAGTAGGACACATGTGGTTTGAGAGACGCCGCACCCTAACAGGCGCCTGTGTGCCGGTGGTAGTCGAGTGTCCGCTTCGGAATTTACTGTATTAACCATATACCATATGGTAAACGGATGAAATAACAACGATATTCAAATTAATGCATTTGGCGTTTTACGACTCATTACGTCCTGTATATTAACATAGAGTGTGTGTCCCGTAATGTGTACAGCGATTGTGCGGTTCATTCATTATAATATGCGGTTATGAATAATATATGACAATTTTTCCCTATCAGGCGTTGCCATTCTCTCTCTCTCTCTCTTTCTCTTTCTCTCTCTCTCTCTCTCTCGTATGAGTCGCATCAATTAAAACCTTCCGATTGATTGAGCAAATCATGGAATACAAGCGATGAGGTCGTTTGTTTGCCTGCCGTGAAAATACAACTTATGTACCAAATACAAGATAAGTGTACTCTATATGCTATACACCCATCCAAACAATTGTGTTATTTGTTGCCTTCATTAAAGCGAAACCCACATCATTATTGTAGGCATTATTATAAACCCACAGATCCTACAGTATAACAGCATAACTCAATTTACTTTCACCAATTTATACACACTATAATATTATGTATATCTCGTATACAGTGCACTATGCCGTACACTAACACTATTATTACTCCACAAATTTTTACTGATTTACCCTCACACAATTAATTACTCTCTCTCTCTCTCTCTCTCTCTCTCTCTCTCTCTCTTTAATGCTGTTTTATTGGCGGTTACGGCGGCGGCGGTGGCGGCGGGTTGGGTGGCGGTTACGACAAAATCTCTCTCTCTCTCTCTCTCTCTCTCTCTCTCTCGCACTGCTATATTATAAATTGCATTATTGGTTCTTTGTCATGTTTTTAATTGAGATTTTGTCCAAAAGTATTGTTTTTATAAAATAAATAGATGTTTACCTTATGGAGTTTAAAATTTAATGAAATATATTTTCTTATTTTATTTTATATAAATTTCATTAACAGGTTAACATTTTATATAAGGAATTTTATCAAGGGTATTCTAGTGTATAATGAACTGTAAGTAAAAGTTGTATAATATGGTCTTATCATTATGGATTATTGCAACATGGTCAGTTACAAGCTTGGTCGAGCCCATGAACATGCAATATAGACACTGCCAGTGAAAATTGTAGCGTTTATATTTTTTCACATCGTACTTTTTTGCAGCCGTACGCCCAACCATAGCCTACACCAAAAGCCCAGTCTTAACCCATAGGTAAAACCCAATGCCTAAACCTAATGGTCAAACTCTATAACTCACAATAACTCACAAACATATGAAACACAACGTAAGTGTATTGTATTTGTTTTACAGTTCAGATTGCAGTTGTTATTTACAGTCTACAGACATGCTATACAGACTATATTATACACATTAGATATTAGTTTATATTTCAATTACTCTCACACATAACGTGAGTGTGTGTTACACTACATCTGTATTGTGAACTCCAATACTCAATACATAGACAGAGCACTCAATACACAAGCACTCAATACACAAGCATTCAATGCATAGCGGTGGCAGTACCTGCGTTGGAACGTTTTCGTTCCAGTGTTGTATGTGTGTAACAATTTACTGCTGCTGTAACTCTATGGAGTCACGTGTAGTAGCGTTTGCGCACTAATAGCACAGAGCGATAGTGAAGCGGAAGGTACGCTATGCATAGCGGAGTACCCACGTATTCTTAGTTTTGACAACGTTTTCACAAAGTTTATGCAGTGAAGTGGAGAGTTAGTGCTTGAAAGGGATATGACACTGCACTCACTGCTCCTCTCGCGACAAAAATGCACTGAAATGTTAAGAGCGATAAAAGTTACATGTCTACAACACTGGTAGACTTTTTGGAGTGACCNTTAAGAGCGATAAAAGTTACATGTCTACAACACTGGTAGACTTTTTGGAGTGACCTCTCTTTGAAAATTAATTACTCGGACACCACATACGATAATAAAGTTTTTATTAATCCATTATTTGCTCAAATGTTTGATTGAGGCATTCCTGAAATTTTTTTCCACTGACTTTTAAGACTGATTTTTACCGAGAGTTTGAAACTCAAATATCAAAAAGTCTAGGATGTGTTGTGGTTAAGGGTTAATGAGTAAATCATTGGCTAAATGTAAACAATTAACACATTTAACGATTCGTCCTTTTGGTTATAATAATTTTACTTTTTCATCAAATTTTGCCAATAATTTTCCGAAACTTCAATATTTGTCTATTGGTTGCCATAAAATGACAGCAAATATATTGAATTCGTTGTCATTATTGCCAAAAATACAGACCATTAGACTCTATGGCCACAAAGACTACACCGAAACGGATCTCAAACCACTAAACGATTGGAAATCAGCCAAAATTATTAACATTTATATTAACGATAAAAATATAATTGAATGACAACTGAATGTATTTTTGCGAATAAAAGTTTTGATTAAATAACTGTAAAGTAATTCTTATGAATTTTAATAATTGTAATCTATTGTCATATTAATCAAGTAGGTTAGGTTTTACTAGACATTTATTCCTACTTTTTATTTTTCTATTTTATGTAATTTATTTGAACTGGTCATAATTTTGAACTACTTATTGTATTTTATATGACTGTTATATCATTTAAATTAATGCAACGAAACTGATTTATTATAATTTTTAACCATTATGCTTAATAACTTATCACTTATCATGCAAATTAGTATTGAATTAAAAAAATTACACAATTATGTTTAATATATTATAGTATTGTTTTATTACATTCCGGTTTGTATTCAACATATGAGAAATTAATCACTAAATTGAGACTAAACTGTGGGATGAATTGTATTCAGACATTCGCCAAGTGATGGATATATGCGGCCAACACTTTAGTGCCTGAGATATAGTTCTTGCGGTCAATCTTCTCGTTCTGTGAGTGCGCGCAGTCATCACAACCGCCTATTGGGGGGACAGGGGTTGGGGTTAGGGTTGAGTTCATTGACATTACATATAGTACTACCGATTGGCAACAGAAGGACACTCTTTCCGGTCACCTCTTCGAAGGTTAGGGCCACTGGTATTGAACCGCCCTCTCGGGTCAGATCGGGATCCGCGCCAAACACTGTCCACACAAACAAACAAAACAATGAATTTAATAATAGTTTAGTTTTTGTTTAAATAACTAAAACACTGATTACCG